TCTGAATAGTTTCACGTATCAGCAAAAAACTATTTCAAAGCCGCAGCAGTTTTCACAAATGCATAATATAGGAGCGGGACTCTTTTCCTCTTTTCTTTTTTTTTTCATATTCATATTCACTAAGAATTTATAAGTTTTTGCATTTGTTTATCATTACACTTATCACACTCTCTTCCGACACTAGACCAATGATACAGAGGTTACACTGCTTTTTTATATGTAAACCAGCACACATTCCACTTGATAGTAAGTGGTTGTTGTAAACCACAAATACCTACGTTTACCCTCGATTGAAACTCAAAATACAGAAGCGTTGTCACCACTGAGGACTAAGATGGAAGGCCTGATTTCCAGTACAAAGAGTCTCCGGTCCTCTATACTCACCATACAAAACACAGCAGCATTTAGCTGCTATGTTACGTTGGTATACTGTAAGAGCGTGTTTCTTCCTCAGTCGAGCGAATCCATTCATGCTACAACCATAATATAGCTCCAATTTGGCTCTACCACGTGGAGTAATTACAAGTACAAACACACGTGAGTAGATTAGAATCAACTTCAACGTCTTTTTTACTTAATAAACGCAAGTGTTTGACTTTAATCTCACCGGGTAAACAGTGGATGAAGCCCTAGGTTCGAAATCGCGTTGTGTTAGTTTAACAAGAGCATTTTTGTCTTGAAGACATCTAAAATTACAATCGGGTGAATACTTAGATGTTTGAAAATAATTCCACTCATTTGCCGTACTCATTATAATGTAAATTGAGAACACTTGATAAAAGTTCACATGACAGTTCCAGCATTATATATTTTCATATAATTTATATATATATATAAAAAATACAAAGCTTAGTATGATATATATATATATATATATATATATATATATATATATATATATATATATATATCATCACTACACCCTATATATATATATATATATCTGCAAAGATTTTGTGACCACGCCGTCATCGGCGGATTATTTAGAAATTTTCACTGGTCGTGCGGTTACTATTTACTGTGTAAAACTTTTAGTTGAAGCAACTTACACAGGCCTAAATGTACAAACCGATTCACGACATGCTTGCAAAATTGGAAAGCTTTCATACAAACCCTTGAATTTATTCATACGCTAAAATGACTACGGTTAGTTAATGTTCGTTTTATATAAGTAAGATTGATAAAAGAGCACACAGTTCACATTATGGTAATTAGATGCTATCACCCACTGACATCTTCATTTATACTCGATTAAGAATTAATTTATAGGTAAAGCCACACTGCAGCTATATTTTGGTTGTAGCACGAATGTGTCCCCTCGACCGGGGTAAGACCACGTTCTCACCAGAATAACAGCGTAAAATGGCAGCCAAATTCTGCTGTGTTTGTGTGTTGAGTGTAGAAAATGGGAGTCCCTTGTTACCGGAAATGAGGCATACCATTTAAATCCTCAAGGGTGACAATGCATCTGCATTTTGATTCTTAATTGAAGATAAATGCAGATGTCTATGGACCTCAGTATCCACTTACAATCACATGCACTCTATGCTCGTTTATCACTCTTATTCTATAAAAGAAAAACTTCTGTAGACTTAGAAGATGTGCCTTGTTATAAGGAAAAGTTTTCAGTAAACTTATTACTCTATTGTTGTCGACAATGATTTCTAAAAACTAAGTTTTGACATCAGAGTGAAAGGCATTTTTCGATTAGCGCCACAAGTTTTTATCCTAACAAAATGACGGAAAGGTCAAACTTTCATCTCTTCATGAGTTGACTGGAATATAATGCCTTAAATTTTTAGTCCACGCTTTGTATCCATTTTAAATATAACAGGTATACGTGAACAAATAAATAGATCACTAATATGTGAACAAATAAATAACATATTAATATGAGGATTTTAATTTAAACCTTCATAGATTTCGTCTAGTTACTGTGTTGTTAGCCAGTCTGCTTTTTCAGCTTCATCGAACTCAGGGCTAATAAAAAAGGGTGATAAATATGATTATGATATGAATGATGATGACAAAACCAATGCAAGTTGACCACTTAACAATCCCGTGTTTCTATTGAAGTATGTATTAGTAATCGGGGCCCTATTTTCAACTTAGCATCTTTTATTATTAAAACATTCTGAACTAAAATTTTTGTTGTAGTAACATTTGCGTATTTGTGTAATTTTTTATTCATAAGCTGTTGAGGAATATTTAAATTAATAAACCATAATACCTGTACAAAGTAAGATAATGATCTATAAACATGTCATGGTAATAGTTTATGAGCCAGTAAGCGGCAGACTTACGGTGTTTCCATAGGCTTCACGTTTTTTTTGTTTCAGTAAGTCTCCTATACCTGAGGTACATGAAACGGAAACTATTTAGTTTCACCAACCAACTCATTCTCATTTTTTTAAAGGAGAAAGTGCAAACGAGCATGCGGCTCACCTGATGGTAAGTGATTACCGCTGCCCATGAACAATTGCAACACAAGGGGGATTGCAGATGCGTTGCCAGCCCTTTAAAAAGAAATAGACTCTTTTCTTAAAGGTTCTAAGTCGTATCGATCGGGGAAATTGTCTGGTGGTAGTTGATTCCACAAAGAAGTTGTGCGAGGAAAAAACTTCTTTTAAATCGCTTAGTGGTGCACCGCCAATCATCCAGATGGTACGGATAGTATGGCGAGTTTTGTCGCGATGTGAAACTGTGCGGATGGAATTAGTATGAACAATTCCTCAGTGCAATCCCCGTGATGATGCGATAAAGTACGCAAAGAGATGTCACATTTCTTCGCAGTTCCAGTGAGACAAGCCGATCGGAAAGAGCTCCGTTGCCGACGATTCGAACTGCTCTGCTCTAGATGCGATCAAATTGAAGAAGCTGAAGGGAGCCCCGACCCAGAACGTGCGGCCGAACCTGCGCCTTATAAAGTTGCAAATGGTGAGCCGGCATGAAATACTGTCCCGCTCTGCTGAGTACGCCAAACTTTTTAGATGCCGATTTGGCCTTCTCTTCCAAGAAACCACGAAACTGCACGTCACTCGATATTTCGACGCCAAGAATTCCGATACTGGCTGAGGCAACAAGGGTGCCTTGAAACTGAGGAGATACGACGAAGATGTTCTTTTAAGCGGTAAACGCAAACTTGTGTCTTTTGGGGATTAAATTGAACTAGATTTAGTCGCCTCTAGTCCGAGATTTTGTTAAACAAAGTCTCGACTTCAGACACGAGTTTGTCCTGGTACTCGGCGACGTTTTCCTTACAAAATTGGCACGGCTGATGTATAAAGCATCACCAATGCTATCGTCTGCACAGCAATGAATGGTACCAATTTGTAACATGTCATTGACATGCAGAAAAAACACGCACACAGCTTTATGGAACACCAGCATTAATGGCTTTGTAATTGGAACATGCACCGTCTACTACGACCTTGATACTCCGATCTGCAAGAAAGCTTGTGATCCAATTGCACAATTTCTCGGGAAGCCCATAGGAAGGAAGCTTCGTAAGAAGCACTTTGTGCCAAACCTGATCGAAGGCCTTCGCTATGTCCAAACTAACGGCCAACGCCTCCCCCTTGGACTCCACTGCCTTCGCCCATTTATGAGTTAGGTAACCTTAAACTTCACGAGCGAAGCGACCGCGACGGAAATCGTAGTGGCGGTCACTAATCAGTAGATCAGCTTTGTCCTTTGTGGCATGGGCCATGATTCAAACCTGTCTGTGCAGAGATGAAAGAGATGGCTGGCAGAAGTTCCCTTGGATTGCCTTGGCGAGAGACCAGAATGTACGTATTTCCGAAAGAAGACGAACAAGCTGTCAATTCTACCGATGGGCTCTGACTTTGCCTTGACAGTGACACTTTTGTAGGACCTGTAAGCAGAATTATACTTCTTCTTAAGGACGCTGTTATTTACATTCCGAGACGTCGCTGCGCGAGCCTAGGCCTGGTAACACTCCTGCTTATGATGTAATGGAATTTTGCAGAAGCGACTAAACTAAAGCTGGTTTCTGCCTCCTTTAGGTACCACAGATGATGGAATAAATAATTCCCTTCCCTGTAGCACCACATTAGCGATAGAATCAGCAACAACGCTGGAATCATCCGGCGAGAAGCAAACCCGCCTCCAAGGGTAGGATGCAAAAAAATATCGCATACCATCCCAATCGGCTGACACATAATGCCAAAGACGGCGGCAACCTGCAGCCCGCAGCCGCGATGGGAGCGTGAATGGCACCATACTTCGGGTCAGACTATGGTCCGAGGAGCCAAAAGGGTGTCAACGGAGACCTGATATCCGTCCAGATGCGAGATCAGCAGAAGATCCAAAAGGGAAGGTACATGATCTTCCAAATCTGGGTAGGCGAGGTAACCAGCTGTGTCAGACCATATGCCAAAGCAAAGTCATAAATAGATCTGCCTGCATGATCAGTTAAACGAGAACCAAGCCATTCAGTATGGTGGGCGTTAAAACCACCAAGTCTCACGATCTCTGCGGATGGGACCTGTTGTAGCACGGAGTC